ATGGTATCTTGCAGTAGGCAGAGACACGTGAGTGCGATTTGGCAAGAAAAGCAAGTTCCACTAACCTGGGAATTTGGGTAATATGGAAAATTACCAGGCCCAAGAGGCAGGACCAACAGTGTTTCTTTTGTTGGTACTCTAGATGCCAGCCACGGAGGGTCTGGGTCCAGTGGCATATCATCCTTGAGGACTGTTTCATGGGGGAGGGAATTGTGGAGTAGGGCAACTCTCAGAATTCAAACATCTTTTCCCTGTGGCACAAAAAGCACCATCCAGAGTCAGTTCTGTCTCCACTGAGGTGTTTTTGTCACTCTGGAACTGGCACAGTAGGCCCCAGAAGACCAAAGGCCTTGGTGAGAAGTTTTGACACAAAGATAGAAGGGGGCAGAATCTAGCTCTAACTTCCTGTCTCTTCACAGCTATCTACCTGTTGTACGCCAAGTTGGAGGAAGAGTATGGGCTGGCACGTCATGCCATGGCAGTGTATGAGAGAGCCACTCAGGCTGTGCAGCCCTCAGAACAGTATGATATGTACAACATCTACATCAAGAGGGCGGCTGAAATCTATGGGGTCACACACACTCGTAGCATCTATGAGAAGGCCATTGAGGTCAGTTTCTTCTCCATCAGCAGTCATGAGTACAGGTCTTTATGCGCTCAGCCCAAGGTTAGGTTGCCCGACTTTAATTTGCAAGGGATGGTGTTTGCTATTTAGGGGCTGAATAGAATTTAATTCTTACAGTACATTTCTGGTGTCCATTTGCAGGTTCTGTCAGATGAGCATGCCCGGGAAATGTGCCTCCGGTTTGCAGACATGGAGTGCAAGCTTGGCGAAATAGACCGAGCTCGTGCGATCTACTCATACTGCTCACAGATATGTGATCCCCGAGTAAGTCCCCTCCCCTCCCCACACACATTCAGATTAGTCAGGTACATGGCTGGGAAGTCCTCCTGTTTCCTTGCAGAGAGGAGTACAAATTCTTCCTGTTATGTGAGAGGGTTTATAAAATACTAGCTTCCCATTGAGCACAAAAACATCTTTTTTTGGCAGCAACAATATGCTTTGTGATGGCAAAAATGATACAAAGACCCTCAAAGAGGGAGAGGGCTGTGGATCTAAAACCATCCCACTTCTTTGTCAATGGATCTGTGTCACACCAGTATTGCAGAGTCACTAAGCAAATGTTTCATGCTTCAGTGGGCAAGGCTGCCTGGAAATCAGCTGTGCAGAACTTGGCGCTTCAACTGTTGGAAGAAGATGCTGTCTCTGAGCAAAGCTAGATGCAAATAGCCTCAGTCCTAATCCCATCTATGCTTGGCCAGAGCTGGGCCTGGAATAGGCATGCGTAGCAGATGCTGCCACTAAGACAGGTTCACCTTCCTTCAGCTACTGAAACCCCCAAAAGCTGATGTTTTTGGCACCTGCCTTTGCATTGTCTGCACTGCTTCTCGAGCTCCACAAGGAATTCTGACCAGGGCAAGGTTAGAAGATGGGAATAGACTCTCCTGGGCTTGGCACGTGGTTTGGAAAAGGCCGAGCACTTAACACAAGTATGTTTGGAAACTTCTGGACACTATTGTCCTGCCTGACGTTATGCCATGTTTGTTAATGTTCTTGACATCAATAATAAGTGCCTGTTATTTCAAAGTGAAATACCTCACTCAGGATGGTAAGCAAATAGCTTATGAAACAGTTGTATACAAAAAGACTGTGAGTAGAACACATGCTAAACTGAGCATAGCTTAATTTGGAACAAAATAACCCCCCTCCCATTTGCTCTCTTTACTCTCCTGCCATCAGATGTTGTTTTCACAGTTTTCTGAGGGGAGAGGCTCCAGTTGACAGACTATCAAACCACCATCTCCCTATTTTTCCTCTTCAGACCACTGCCAACTTCTGGCAGACATGGAAGGAGTTTGAAATCCGGCATGGGAATGAAGACACTATAAGAGAAATGCTGCGCATTAAACGAAGTGTGCAGGCTACCTACAATACCCAAGTCAACTTTATGGCTTCCCAGATGTTGAAGGTTTACAGCAATGCTACCGGCACTGGTGAGGCTTGGCCCTTGAGATGGGGCAGTGCTAATTCCACCTCCTATTCAGCTCTGCTCTCTTTCTGTATCTGCTCCCACTCTCATTCATGCTTGTCTTCTTGTTTCAGTATCTGACTTAGCACCTGGACAGAGCGGCATGGATGACATGAAGTTGTTGGAACAGCGAGCAGAGCAGCTTGCAGTTGAAGCAGAGCGAGATCAGCCTCGAGCTAAGGAGAAGATCCTGTTTGTCAGGTACGGGTGGTACAGCCCAAAATGATTTGCTTCTTTCCTGTATGGATTTGGTGATTTCAGGGGGTGGAGCAAGAGCTGAGCCCTGAATTCCATTTTGAGCAGACTAGAAGGAAATGGGATACTGTAGACACTGCTGATGCTTCCATGAGAAACCTGGTACCTCCTCAAAAAGTTTGCTTCCTAATGTGGGGATATGCACTGAATTGTGCAGGTAAAAGTATTTGTGGTCACAGGTTTGAGAGAGATCCTTGGAGGATGGTGGCACTGGGGCTATTTAGAAACCTTTCTTTGTATTTAGTGTGCAACGCAGCCCTGAACCTTTCCAAGCATTATCTTTATGGTTACAGGAAAAACTTAGGACATTTGGTTTTTTAATGCACTCATGTTCTGGCTGTAGTTCAAAAAGGTAGTGGGCTTGAGCTGGTCCCAACAGGCTCTTTTGACAATTAGCATCTTAAAGGAGACTGAAGCGGCTTTTACGTCAACTGCCAATGTTGTCCGTTAAGAGCGGGGCGCCTTGCAGGGGCCTCTTAAATGCTGTTCTCTGCTACCCCCTAGAGTGCTTACCCAAACTTGTCAAATTTTATAATGTTTGTTACAGTGGCGTTATGGCCAGTGAGCTGTAGAGGTTTTGATTCAGCTTTTAATTTGCTTTGCCGATTTTTAAAAACAATGCTTTGGCAACAGCTGCCACCACAACTCTGCATGACTGAAGGTAAGCTGTGTGAAAGCAAGTAGATATTTTAAAACAGTATGTTCATTTAAAAAGGCAACCTGTCAAGCAGAATTTCTGCCTGAAGTGTTGGAAGAGTTACTAGTAGTTCATAGACAACCTTTTAGTGTGCAACACAGCCCTGAACCTTTCCAAGCATTATGTTTATGGTTACAGGAAAAACTTAGGACACTTGTTTTTTTAATCCACTCATGTTCTGGCTGTAGTTCAAAAAGGTAGTGGGCTTGAGCTGGTCCCAACAGGCTCTTTTGACAATTAGCATCTTAAAGGAGACTGAAGCAGCTTTTACGTCAACTGCCAATGTTGTCCGTTAAGAGCGGGGCGCCTTGCAGGGGCCTCTTAAATGCTGTTCTCTGCTACCCCCTAGAGTGCTTACCCAAACTTGTCAAATTTTATAATGTTTGTTACAGTGGCGTTATGGCCAGTGAGCTGTAGAGGTTTTGATTCAGCTTTTAATTTGCTTTGCCGATTTTTAAAAACAATGCTTTGGCAACAGCTGCCACCACAACTCTGCATGACTGAAGGTAAGCTGTGTGAAAGCAAGTAGATATTTTAAAACAGTATGTTCATTTAAAAAGGCAACCTGTCAAGCAGAATTTCTGCCTGAAGTGTTGGAAGAGTTACTAGTAGTTCATAGACAACCATACTCCCTAATATGTAGAGGTTGTGCCCACGGGGTGTAGCAGAAAGGTAGCTTGGCGCTCAGGAGTCTGTGCAAGAGGAGGAAGTGCATTTTGTAAGGGGTCAGATTGAGAACAAGATGTAGTCGGGCTGTCTTGTGCTTCAACATTGTCTCTCCTTGCTCATTTCTAGGAGTGATGCTTCCCGTAGTGAGTTGGCTGAACTCTCCCGGCAGGCCAACCCTGATGAGATAGATATAGACATGGATGAAGATGGCAATGAGAGTGAGGATAATGAACCTGATGGTAAGAGAGAATGGCTGTAGGGGTTTGTCACTTTTTTTACTGTACAGGTTTGGTGATCAGTAAGTGACCATCATGGCAGACTGAGAACTTCAACCCAGTCATGTCCTGTGCCTACTGCACTCCATAAGTTCTAACATGGCTTGTTCTGTACTCTGCACTGACTGGCCCCGTCTTTTCTTTGGCAGAGGTTCAGCTGGAGCAGCAGAGTGTCCCTTCCGCTGTGTTTGGAGGCCTTAAGGATGACTGAACTGGGCTCTGCAAAAGCAACTGCTTCTTCCAGATCACTTTTCCTCATCATTTACTTTCGACTCTTTTTTGCTGTACTCTTTTGTCAGTCTGGCAAGTTACTATTTATAAAATAATGTGTCTAATGGCTGCTGGTGGTACTTTTGTGCACAAACCATCATTGAGTTTCATTCCTAAACTATATCATAACTCTTCCTTCCAACCTGTGACGGCTGTAGCTCAGCTTCACCAGTAAAGGAAACTGAACCTTTGAGCACATGAAGTGTCCTATAGTAGCATGGGTTTCTTTTTCTTTACCACTTCTACAGTATAAAAAATAGAGCAGAAAGGGGTTGCCCGATTCTATTAAACCTTCTCAATTAGATTCTGGGCCAACTGACTTCATAACATAGCTGCAGGAGGTATGACTAAGATGACATTTAAGGGTAATGAGCATCACTTAAAAGGCATACTCAGCTCCAGAGCTTAACTCGTAGTAACATGGATCTGCTGCCCCTACAGCACCTAGCCTTCCTCCTCTGGCAATTACTCCTGATCTTGTTTCCCAACATCATCCCAATGGATGAGTGGGTAAGGGCTGCTATGACTCCATGTGCAGAGTGATGGAAGAGTATCATACATATCTTTACTTCACCCAAACAGGTAATTAGAGTACCTATTAGCCCATTACCACTACACTCAGACATAGGAATTTCAGGAAGCTGGCATTTTAGCAGAGATGTAACAAAGTCAGTGTTTTTAAAGAATAAATAAATACAGAGACACCTTAAGAGAGAAATGGCAGTTTTCCTGCTGTATTGGGGGGGGGGGTGACATGTGAATCGCTACTACTGTATTCTGCAGCTTTTTCCATAGGCTTGAGCTTATTTTGCCATCCCCACAGTTCATCAGTGGACACAGTTGACTACAAGTGCATTCAGTGTTCACAATTAACCATTTGTGAAGGTACAGGCCTGCTAATCAGTGATACAGTTCCAGGCTTCTTGCTATATCCCAAACCCACCAGAATAATGACCAGCAGAAGGCTCACTTAAGTTACTTTATTAAGCAGACAGGGCCAAGTTCCCAGCTGCTTTTTACACTGACCCCTCCCCAACCCTGCACTACACCGTACCCACCCAAAACACCTACTTGACATTCAGTCAGCAACAGGCAACCACAGGAGACCAGGAATAAGTTGCAACAAGACAGAATTGGGCTGGGGAATTCTGAGCTGAACAGCATTGTTTCTCTTTTTCCTCCACTTTGTGAGCAGCTCCAGCTCCAGCAGAGCAGGGACAGACATGGGAAGGAGAAAGATACCCAAAGGACCATGGGAGAGGGGTGCTGTACTGGCACTAGGTGCTCAGCCTCCCTAACCATCCCTTAAAAAGGGACTGAAGAAATTTATCCTACATTCATTACCTACTTATGCTCTGAGTGGCAGGCTGGGGAAAAGAAGAGTAGTAGTAATCTACTCTACTGGCAGCTCAGTTCAGGATGCACAGAGGCCGGCTCCATGACCATAGCCACCGTCAGCTTCTTGGCACTTAACAGAAGTGACCAGCTGAAACTCTGCTCTATCTCAATCAGAAACTGGCTCTCTACTCATATCCTGACTCCCCCCACTACTGCTAAAGAATTATTACATGTAAATAGCCCTTTCCCCTTCACCAGAACACCTGTGTGAGCCAGGGAGTCAACAAAAAAGTTGGCAAGAAGAAAAACATTTAAACAAAAGACCCGGAAAGGGGGGGGGGGGGGGAACATACACACACTCACTGCCCCCACTCTGTGCTCTTCCCACCCCCTCCATCATGCCAACCACATATATAAATTCACCTTACTGTTCCAAATGCAATTTGATCCTTTTTTATATACAAAGAATTGAGAAAAATCATTAAATAGCTCCTATATATATATATATATATGTATAGTATGTATACTATAAACAGGGGCTGCCTAGGCAGTGAAAAGCCCAGCACACAACCAGGAAGGGCCTGAACACCACTCTCCAGACAAGAAGGAATTAGAAAAAGAGACACCCCCCCCCATTGCCTCAGCTGTGGACTGACATTCAGAGATGATGATTGGAGGCAGATGGAGCATGCAGAGTCCAGACTCCAGCCCCCAGAGCCCTAGATGTAGGGCAGTGTGACTATGGCAACTGTGAACCTCTAGCTTATCACGGGATTTGGCAGTTTCTAGAGCATCTTTCTTCATACCCACCCCAGAAGCCAGTATCAGTCTCCTCCTGAAGGCAGGCACCACAACTACCCCACCCTCCAAGTTCCCTGTGCGGCAGCTGGTTCAGATCCGGCCAGAGTGGCCCAGGACTAGATACACACTCCTGCCCCGTGACCCCACCTACTCAAGCCACCTATTATGGAAAGTCTGCCTGCAAAGTCCAGGCAGGGAGCTGACATGGAGCTTTTCAAGTCCTGGTTATTTTGGGGTGCCTGGCTTCTTGGGTGTGCCAGGCTTCTTGGTCTGCCAGAGGTGGCCCTGGATGGTGAAGGCATCAACACTCATAGACATGGTCTTGCTGGGAATCTGAGTGAAGCGTTTGCGATCAGAGCTGTATTTGTAGATGCCCTCAATCATGGGCATGGTGATGGTGCGAGGCCCATAGCCAGCCAGGCGCGTCAGCTCTTCTGTCTCTCCTGAAAGTGTGTAGAGTGCCCGGAACTGGCAACTCGAATCACGGAAGAGGATGAGGAAATGGTTGGCTTTGCTCTTCTCAACTTCCTAAAATTGTAAATAAAAGAAAATAAAGGGAAGGACAGGAACAACACTTCAAATTACTTTTTAAAAAACAGGTGGTTCTGTCTTCTTGCTGGGGATTGCCCCTCTTATCAAAAAGTGAAGCTGGGAAAGCAATAGCCTCACACGCTGCTCACCTTTTTCTTCCCAGCAGAAGAAAGGGAGCCTTGTTGTGATCTAAGGGGACAATCACTTGCCCAGATCATCCGGCAGCAGCCACATCCCATCTCTCACCCAGTGGCCTGCTTGAATTCCATACACCTCACCACCAGTTCAAAAAAGGCCCAAACCTTTTGCACTTAGTACTGTGAAAAATCCCAGTGGTACAGTGCAATGTGATCTTTTGACATACCGATATTTTAACTAAAAACCAAATCAGCACAGGCATACAACACCTTGCCTTTGCTCTACCAAGCAAAAGTTTATCTCCACAACCCCAGATCCAGCCACAGGTAAAGGAGCTGCAGCCAGCATTTTGCACTTCCAAATTTACATGGGCAAGAGAAAAGGGTGACTCACACAAGTAAGACACCAGCACAGATTTCAACTAGTTAGGAACTAAAATAATTGAGTTCAGTTACACAGCAGCATATAACTATCATGGTTTCAGTGGAGAACTTAGTCAAGCTTGGATCAAAGGCTGATGGGCTGAAATCAAGTTATAGCTAAGCAGAGAAACATGCAATAAGGTGAGAAATAGGAACTATAACAGAGTTCACCCCATGAGTTCCCTTTTCTCGCTGAGCCATCATGAGCAAAAGATGACATATTTTCAACTCGTTCTGGACAAGCATGAGGACCAGCACCATTAAAATAACCTGCTCTTTGTGGATACTAAGTTCTACCACTCGCCACTTACGGTCCCATAGACTTCTACCCAATTCTTAGTCTGATACACACAGCTATACACTATGGGGCAAACCAGTTAGCAAGATGAGATGCAAGAACTGACTCTTCAATGGCCCACAGCAGTCAAGGCAGTGTCCCAGCCCAGTCCCACAATCTTACCTCTAGGATGCGGTTTTTCTGGGGCTCGTTGACTTTCCCAGCAAGGCAACAATGTGACAGTGCATTGTGGATGATGTACTTATTGGACTTGGCACTGGGCTCCTTGTACAGCTTGGGCCCTGCAAATGCAGAGAGAAGGAGACATCAGCAATCAAAGGGATGTCTTCTCCTGAAGGGGAAGAACTCCCTGAAATGACAGGTTGAGGGACTTGGAAGTACCTCACTTAGCAAGGAAAGGGATTTGGAAATTCTTGAATGCACTCAAAGCCCCGTCAAGGTAACCAGCTTTACCTGTGCACTTGGGAAAGATGGGGAAATTCAGTGCAGCCACCTCCTGAAGAGACTGGGAAGGAAAGCTAAAGTACATGAAAGCAACAAATGAGGCATCAGGGGCTTACCAGTGTACTCTGGTATGGAAGCAGGTGAGGAAGCAGTCGACGCATTCTCCCAGTCACGCTCCCGGTTCTGGTTCGGTAAGAACCGGCTGGGGGACATTGGCCCGGAAGGAGATGCAGCTCTGGAAAAAAAAACCCACAGAGGACACCATAGGCTTTACATCTTCTTGGCTATACTCCAGCCAGAATCTCCTGGCCACAAACCAAGCCCCATTCACCCACTCAGACCATAGGGACAGAGCTCCCGCTTAGTCGCAGCCTTTCTGCTTCGGAATAGAAATAGGAGGACAGGCTGTGGGAAAACCACACACACTTACCGAGAAGACCTCTTGATGGAAAGTGTATTGTCATTGGCCACCGTCGAGAGAGAGAGTGTTGACTGGGAGTATATCTTGCTCAGCTTGGAGCCTAGGAAGAACGTACAACATTAAGGGCAGCATGCACCCTTCTCCATGAATACGGCACTAGAGTTGAAAGCCGAACCTTCTCCAGAGCTATCCCTGCTCCACTACACCGCATCCCGCCCTCTAGTCCCCAAAGGACAGAGCATCCTTCTTCACAGATTCCTCCCTGCCTGCAGTGTACACCCAGGCCACTCAGCAGCACGGCTCCTTACCGAGGAGCCCTTTAACAGGGCTGCGTGCCAAGGCAGAGTCGTCGCAGAAGACCGTCTTGGGCCGCCCCTTCTTTAGGGCACGCACTGTGGTGGGCTTCTGCCGCAACACCTTGTCCAGATCCTCCATCAGCTTTAGCTGATGACGCCTCAGGTACTCCTGGCGGGTGAAGTCCCCACGCCTTGGACCCACTTCCTCCTCTGGCCGGGTTTGCTCCTCCACCTGCAGCCTAGGGAAACACAGACCCAGGAGAAGAAATAATTCCAGGGATTAGAAGGTCCACCCAAGCCAGAATTTTTTTTAATTAAACAGAAATCTACTTCACATTCTGTGTGATTACTATACTGTGCAATTAAGTTATTGCAGTGGTTTTCAAAGCATATTCCAAAGAACCTTGGGATCCCTCAGAAGATTTTCCGGAGTTCCTCCAGGAGAACTGGCGGTAAAAGGAGAAAAGCTTCCTGGCAAAACAGCTGGATGATTCAGAACCTCTCTTCCCTGCAATGGGAAACTGGCCAGGAGTGTTGGAGGCATTCCAAAAGGCCTAGCCAGTTCCCCACCTGAACCAAGTATATGCTCTAGAATATGCCCTAGAATCCTCTCCAGCACACAGAGATCCCATGACTGACATACAGGCATTCCTCAGCCGACCCTCAAAGGTTTCCAAAATACAGAACGTTTCAACACCACTGGGGCTTCATATGCAATCAGTCACTACAAATTATGGCTTGGATCCCATGGAGCCTTTCCATGGAAGGGATTTCTGTTCGCAGAGTACAACTTCCGCCACCCCCCTTCTTGCGGCAGCCCACAATATCCCACCAAATGTTGCTTCTGAGGGAAAGTAGGGGGGGGGGGGGGGGGGGATTCATGAAAATCACCTGCAGAAATCTGTAGGATCCAAGCCTATGTTTTGAGTTTATTGACCAACTCCTTTTTGCCTAAGTGCGGGATGAAAGTCATGGCCTAGATGCAAACAGTTTACAAAGAACTAAAAGCAGTGGAGCCAATGCCCAGACAGCCAGTCTTGATATTCCGTCCTGAATACAAGTTAAAAGCTGGCAACAAGTAGATATCGGGTGGTGAAAGCACATTTCTCTTACTCCATCTCATTCTTGAGGTCAAAACAGACTGTTCACAAAGAAACAAATTAGTTCGGCTATACTTCAGTATAGGTGGTTTATATTGTTTTCCTCTCCTCTCCATTTTATCCTCACAACAACCCTGAGGTTGGTTGAGTGTGTACTACTGGCCCATATCACCCAGGAAGCTTCCACGGCACAGTCAGGATTTGAATCTTGGTCTTGCAGATCTTAGCCTGACACTTAAACCAATATACCACACTGACTCTCAACTTCTTGCCAACCATCCATGACCAGAGTCTATCCAGAACGTTCTTTGTGCTAGACACATTTGCTTATCCACTCCAGGCAGTAGGGCTTGCACAGGAGAGATTCTTCATAGACTCCATTCCAAATTTTTAAAGTAGTAATAGATTTAAAAAATTAACTAATACCTCAGTTCTCCAGATGGAACATTTGAGGCTGACTGTCACTGTGTCTAGTCTTCAAGAACAACTTGGCCTTGGTCAGACCATCAAAGGGGTTAGCCAAGTTCCGTGATTAATCTCCTTCATCTGGTCAGTAATCTATTGCAATGTGTTACTATGAAGGCCCTTTAATGCAAATAAAGGCCTCAAAGAATGGAAACAACCCCTCCCCCTTGGCCCACCATTTTTAACAGAGATGATTTGGCTCTAATGCCCCAAATTCTGCTTTAAAAGAAGGTGGTGCTCTCAAAATAAATAGCAGAGATTCACATAATTTACTGCCATTCTGATTTTTCAATTTCTGAATCATTCAGTATTTTAATACCTTTTCCATGTAACCTCCACCTTCCCATGGTGCGATCCCATGCAATGGCAACAACCATGCAAAGGTTGGAGGCAAGTGGGTATGGCCAATTGGACAGGTCTTCCCCACCCGTCCATCACCAGCTCGCAGGGAACTGGGTGTCCACATGGCGCCAGCATTCCTGTGCATGCTGCAACAACACAAGATTGCACCACAGCTAAGCAGCTTCCACACAGCAGGTGTGCCCACACTGGAGACCAGAAACAGGAAGGCTACTGTGGTCCACTTCTATTTCCCCCCCCCCTCACCTGGCCTCGTCTTTCTTCTGCTCCTTCTCCGCCTCCTGCCACTGCTTCCTGCGCCGTGCCTCCTCACTGCGCCTCTGCTGCCTCTCCAGAAGGCTGGCACGCTTCTGCGCCATCTCTCCCTCAGCCTTCTCTTCATCCTGCACAAACACAGCACAACAGCATAGAAGAGGCTTTCCAAGAGATGTAAGGATGCTTCGGGCTTCCAAGATGAAATACGCACTTCACAAACACACACACACAGAACCAAGGCTTTCCTTTTCTTACCCTCCTTTGGACTGGCTCTAGCCTCTGGAAAAAGCCTCATGTTAGAGCCTTGCTCGCTATCCTAGCAGGTACGGTCCCTGTATGAAGGACTGCGTCAAAACTGTCTCCCGTGTTCTCCTCCAGTGCCCTCTCTATCTGGCGTCCCGTCAGGATCTTTTATATCCCATATTAGCCCAACCTTTAGAGACCTCTGATGATTTTAAGGTCCTTTTCTTGCTTGATAATCCAGATAACAGAAATAACTGAAATAGTAGCAAAGTTTGCAGTGCTATGGTTACACGTCCTGATAAGTAATACTATGAATTAGGTTTTATTATGCTGTTACTGTTTTTTTTATCCTGTAATTCTAATTTTACTCTGCATGGATTTTGTATTTTCCTAATCTGTCATTAAGACGCTGAACTGCAGGCTGTGGAAGGTCAGTAGTTCAGCAGTTCCAGACCCGAGTGTGCCGCGTGACGGAGTGAGCTCCCGTCTCTAATTCCAGCTCCTCCCAACCTAGCAGTTTGAAAGCAAGACATTGCAAGTAGATAAATAGGTACCACTTCGGTGGGAAGGTAACAGTGTTCCGTGTGCCTTGGTGTTTAGTCATGCCAGCCACATGACCACGGAAACGTCTTCGGACAGCGCTGGCTCTTCGGCTTTGAAACGGAGATGAGCACCGCAACCCTAGAGTCGGAATCAACTGGCTTTTGAGCAAGGGAACCTTTACCTATACATTAATCTGTAATCAGGTCGATTTACTATTGTATCTATATGTATATGCCAATAAAGGCTTGTCTGACGGTTAGAGCTTTGCACAGGACACAGTCCCATTCTGCTCCCTGCTTCACCACTGCTCTGCCTCTGTTCCTCTGTACAGCATGTTTGTTTCCTGCATAATCCTGCCAGCTATCAGTTTTGACCACAACGGGGTTCACTTCATCTGCAGACAGGACCAGGATCCCAACTGTAAGGGATAAACTTCACATGTCTGTTATTGATGTCTGAGGACAAAGGATTACATCTCAAAATTAGGTCAAGAAAAAAACTCCAGAACCACTACCTAGGATTCCTGCTCCAACTCCTAAGCTGCCCTGGCAGAGGTCAGCATGCACATGGCCTGCATTCCTAGGGTCTCTATTCTGAGTCTGAACTATTGCTCCAGAGCTCGTGTATGCACATTACTGGTCTTGGTGCCAGAGGCAGAGACTTGCATCTCCACTAGAGATAAGCAGGTTCTGATACAATACAATCTCACCTGCAGCAAAACACCTAGAATCTCTGAAATATAACTCTTGACCTGAGTATCTTAAAGCAGAATTTAAGAGGCACATGTGCAAATGTTACTGTATGGCCAATGGGCCCAAAGTGCAGAAGAGAAAGAGGTGTACACCTCATGGACATGGTTTGAAATTAAAGGCTTCAACTCCCATCAAGGTACCACTTGGGTCTAGTGGATCATGAGAATGAGGCACGTGTGCATGCACATATACAAAAGCATTCCCCTTAAAAAAACTCCATCCCATCTGCAGACTATTAGTGCTTGTGGATCAAATACATGGATGGATTCCAAGGGGGCTTTTGCAGTCCCACTGCAGAGCTCACACAATATATCCTAGTCCCAGCATCTTCAGCCAGTCAGCAAGATCACAAGTCAACATACAAGTCAGCAATGAGGAGAACCTATAGCCTGTTCCGCTTTACAGCTGGCTGATTCAAAGGAATAAAGGTCTCCACAGCTCCTTCATCAAGAACCCTCCCCCCTTTCCTCCAAAACCCATTCCTAGCTTCTACAGAAAAGTGGGAGACTCTAGCAGATCAATAGTAACCTGGGGGGGTTAAGTTCTCTCACCTTGAAAAAGAAGCCCAAGCCAGCACGGGGCTCTGTATCCAGTGCCTCAGTGATAGATTCCTCCAGTGAATCATCACCATCCACATCTTCATCCTCCCCCTTCAGGCTAGACAGAGGAATTTCAATCAGGCTACTGTGCCGGTCACTGGGTGAAGAAACATCACTGGTGCCATCCCCTGAGACACGGCCATTGCCCCCCTGTGGAGGGACAGAAGCCACAGGTCTCAAATTACCCTGGCCTTCCACTTCTGGCACTGGCAGCTCCTCATCCTCAGCAAAATGGATGGAGGAACGGGTCTGCACAGGTCCCTGGCTTGGTGAGAATTTGCGAAGGTGTGGAAGGGTGTCTACGTTATGAGGAGGCGTCAGAACACGTGTGAGGGGTGGCAGCTTCAGCTCAACCGGCCGTGTGTGCTTGGGGCTCTTTGGAGGAGCTGGAGACTTCTTGGGGGTGGGCTGAGGTGATCGAGACTTGCGGGAAGGAGATGGTGAAGGCGCAGGCGAGGACAGCTCCCGTGAAGAGCGTGGAGGCACCCCATCTCGGCTGGTCCTTGGGGCGGGGATCACCCAGGCTTGTGCACTGGGCTTCTTCTCCTGCATGAGACGCTGCTGCTGTTCACTGAGGCGCTGCATGTCCAACTGCAGCGAACTCAGAGCTGTGTTCAGCTTGGCCACTGCCCGATTGTAGTCACCCAGGTTTTCATCAAGTGCTCCCTTGGTAATATCTGGGGAGAAGGTGACCTGCTTGTTATCCAGACGAGCACGGGGGCTTCCAGGCTCTTCCTCAGCCTCCAGCTGGGCAAGCCGTTCCTCCAGGCCAAGCCGACCATCCTCCAACTGGGATTCAGGCCCTTTCTGTAGCTGCAGGAAGGCACTCTTGCCCAAGCGCTGGCGGTGCCGGGCAAAGATGGCCTCTATGCGTTTCTTCTGGGCCTCAATGGCACGCCGCTTCTCCTCTAGCCTGGCGCCCAACTGGCTCATCTCTGAACTGAGGGCAGGACTCTGGGCAGGGCTTTCCTCTGCCGGCACAGGGCCAGCGTCTGAGCCCTCGGAGCTGATGCCACTGGATTTGCTGTCAGTGGCTGCCAACTTCTTCTTGCGCTCTGCAAAACTGGTCATGCGCACACCAGAGGTGGATGAAGCCGTACTGTCAGGCTGTGAACTCAGTGAGCTCACACATGAGGTGGAATCATCTGGGCCACCTGCTGGCCGGGATGGCTCCTCAGCATCAGAGTCCAGGCTGCCATCCTGGGCTGGCTCTGCACCGTTGGGAGGCCCATTGTGGCAGCGGTAAACGGCAGACATGGGTACCTTTTCTGGGATGGAGACTTTGCGTGGCTCTGGAGAATGCAGGTAGAAGCCATCCGGTGCCCCCTCAGGGAGCAGCCGCTCACTGCTGTGAATGATCTGCAACGCCTCCTCAATGGTGGGCAGGTCAGAGTAGCCATCACTCAGCCCATTCTCTACAGCCAGGCCCTCTTGGCCCTTGTGCCCTGCTCCATGAAGCGATGGTGCCACTAGCCCGTTGGGGGCCTCAGCCATATTTCCGGGTCGTGGGCGGGGCAAAGAGGAATAGAGGGCAGGTGCCAGGCTATCAGAGCTAATGGAACGGAGGATGCCCACTGGGTTGCCCATCACAATGTCCACATCACTGTCCAGGCCAAAGGGGATGCTGAAGGAGACCGCTTGGGACAATGGATGGCTACAAAAGGGGTAAGCAAGAACATATTAGGAAGTGTGAGAAAAACGTCTGAACAACTGGAATATCCTAAGCCCACCTCCCACCCAGAGCCAACTTGTGGCCCTCTCATGACCTCCTCCCTAGAAATGTGATGGCCCAGGGGGAAAAACTTGGAAAAATTAGGGAAATGAAACTTTTTCCAAGGTCTTTCCCCCCATTTTTCTGACAGAAAAACACAGAAAAGAAACTCGTACGAAACAATTTCTGTTTTAGAATGCGTAAAATGCTTCTCAGGGCAAGGTGTTTCACATTCAAAACATAGCATGAAAACACTGGAGCGCTTTCTCACTTTTTCCAGTAGAAAAAATGGGAAATTCGGGGGAACACTGAAAAAAACTCTTATACTGTGGACACAATATTTTTGAGAATTTTTTCTTTAAATATAAATAATTTGGGCAAAATTTATGTGCTATAACACGTTTAACATATTATCATTACTAAAGAATTTAGTGTTTTCAGTATTATAGTGTTTGGTTTGAATCCATGAGAGAACAGTGAACTATAAATAACGTAAATAAATAAACAAATGGATAACTATTCAAACTGTCAGTCCTACCTACTCTGACTACAAATTTCTGCCCACAATATACTTCCTTGTGTTTACCACAAAATTTGTGTTCTACCTTCCACACCAGTTTGGTGTAGTAATTAAGTGTGTGGACTCTAATCTGGGAGAACCGGGTTTGATTCCCCACTCCTCTACTTGCACCTGCTGATGTGACCTTGGCTCAGTCACAAGCTCTGGCACAGCTGTTCTTGAAAAAGAGCAGTTTCTGTCAAGAGCTCTCTCAGCCCCGCCTACCTCACAGGGTGTCTGTTGTGTGGTGGGGAAGGGAAAGGAGTTTGTAAGCCGCTCTAAGACACCTTTGGGTAGTGAAGGGCAGGGTATAAATCCAATCTCCTCTTCTTCTTCTTTTCCTTACCTCTCAGATGGGAAAAAATTAAAGATCCATGTGGTATGGTAACACAGGGTGCAGAAGTTTTCAACTCTCTCAAGTATTAGGTATACTTGCAATTTCTCAGAGAAAATGAACATATTTATATCGTAAGTATGCCAAATAGTATAATTTTATATGTGGACAGTTATAAATAATGTGTTTCATGTTGTTAAATCACTCAAAAAAGATTTATTTTGACAGAAAGTAACTACTACATACATTTCAATTTTTCCTGGGGGGAAAAACCTGTTTGTTTCCTGTGGCTTAAAATTTTTGGAAATTTCACATCTCCTCCCTCAAAACTCTATACCCAAATCTGTAGCTAAAGAGGAAAATGGAATAACCCCCACATAGACACACCAGCAAGGGTATGTGATCTCAAGGTGCCTCCCCATCCCTCTCACCTGAGCTGCTTCTTGCTCCATGATTTACCAAAGCCTTCTACATGGGACATGGATGTGGAGTGGTGCAGGGAACCTAAGGAGATAAAGAGAAAAGTTACTGCCAGAGAACCACAAGTGTTGCCTGTAGACATGTCAACAGCATTCTAGGCCCTCATGGGGGGATGGCGGGAGTCTGAGGACATCACCGCCTGGGGGCAGGGGAGATGGTAAACCCATGTCAAACCAGTCTCAGGAGAACGCCTGTGAAAAATGGACCCTCATTATACTTTAAAGGACAACTTAGTAAGATTCCCCACCTCCCAGCAAAGAAGGCATTTGAAAGCAAAACAGTATTCCTGCATGTGAGTACACAAATGTTATCAGAACAAGCTTGAATCCCTTTAAATGGTTCACACTCTTTGGCTGGAGTTTGTTAATGGTTTATATTCTCATGCTGAATCTTTTCAATGAAACCAGTTCAATTATCTTATATCTTTAAAAGTTTAATAGAAACCACCCTTGCTTGTGCAATTAAGCACAGGAAAACAAGCAAGGAAAGCACAAACTTAAGACTTCTGACACAGACTTTACTGTAGCCATGTAGCCCCTTAAAACGAATAGCACTTCCTCTGGGACAAATGGAGAGCTATCTAGCATGAAGAGCTTTCAACACCACAACAATAAATCCTTAAGCTGGTCTGGTCACCAAAGGTATTTGTAGTCATAAGAATGGCAGCAAAGGATTCCCAAGAGGCTTATGGTCAGTTTAACCTTGTAACCCAAAAGACTTAAGGGTCTTTTCATTTCCCCCGACATGGGATGGGCGGGGGGGAGAGCGGTTTCTCACCTAAAGAATCACGGAGTGGGGACTGTGCCTGACCTCCAGGCAGCAGCGGATGGCGGAAATTGAACACTGGGGAGCTGCTGACAGAAACAGAAGAGACAAGCAGAAATCAGATCAGAACAGGGACATTCTTCCAAAGTGATAGCCAGACACAGGGAAGGTGGCCAAGGAAAGCTGGGTCAGCCCTGGAGGCAGAACAATAAGGGCTCCCAAATTTCTACTTGGAGAGGCAGGTTTGGCAGAAACTCAGGGCGGAATATACACAGCCCTGGAATCGTTGCATTACATTACATGTGCAACCTGCATATTGAGCAAAATGCCAGTCTGTCCATTCATGTTTAGATTTTTGCAAACGGAGTGCACACGCATTCACAGACTTGCAGGAACAAGTTCCTATAATTTGCCGCCTAGAGGCATTCCCATAGCTTAGGAATGGGAGGAGATCTCTGCCTTCCCAAAGATCATAGGCTTTCCCTATCCCCCAAGAAGAGCTACAATTTCTGCTGGCTTGGAACAATTTGAAGAGAGTGTTCCTTTCCTCTACCAGGCACAACTCACTCCAGATAAGTCAAAGGAGGCTCCCCCCTTGCCCATCAGCTACAGCTGATCACGACAGGGAGCCCTTTCTTCCCAAATGAGGCCAACCAGGCCTGGATATTCTCCCTGGAGTGAAGGGAGCCCCTCCCCAGCAGCCTGAAACCTAAAGAAGCAATGAGCCGCCATAAGGTACAAGGCGTTTCCCCCCTCACCCTAATTGCTTGAATTATTTCTCCTAGATCAAGTTTCTCCAAGTGGCATTTAATATGTCAAGAGGCCCCTGAGCAAGGAACAGCAGCAACTGTTGTTGGAAACTGGGACTGCCTCATTTGAAAAGGCGGCAATCAAACCCAGAGACTCCCAGGCTCTCTGAAAGCAGGAGCTCCCACGTCAACAACAGCACAGGGCTACCATGCTCAGCCTCCCGCAACCCTGGGACTGCTTCTGCTTAAAGCCACATCCCACTCCATCTTCCCCTTCTTAAGGGGAGCTGAGATTCTTTGGGCACTACTGAGAAGGGAAAAGTTACACCACTGGCTGCTCCTTTTCAAAGCCCACAAGGTTGTTTAGTTTTCTCTCCACCCTCTCCCTTTGTCAATATTAAGGCTCCTGGACAAATGGGACTGGCAGATTGTTATTTAGATGGTGTCCCCATCCAAGCATTCCCTAAAGCACTGATTCCCAAACAGCAGACCTGTTTTTAAAGCCTGAGGTGTTGTTTACCAGATTGCCAGCTGCTGATGCTGGTACATGTCAGGATAAGAAAGTTTTACCTCATGAACAGCAACCGGAGTCTACAAGGATGGTTCTGCCAGGGGGTTCCTTTAATGGGAAATTAAGGTAACAGTCCTGCAGAAGAAGACCCCACTAGCAAGCCATCATCCCTTCTCTGCAGCTCCATGGGCCCTAGCACAACACTGGGATGAGTCTGCTACTTAAAAAGACACCTCCGCCTTGCTTACTAAAACACAGAACCCACGTTTCAGTCCCAGCACTGGCAGTTGAGGGAGAGCCTGGAGGGGGCTCTAAGTGGCAGTGGAAGTACAAAGAGAAGCTGACTTACCTGTTGTTGTTCCCGCTGTTGGATGTCAAAGAGTCATTCATTCCAGGGGAATCTGGAAGAAACGCAGCTACTTTAACGAGCAAGCAGGGAGGGGAAGGAGCAGGGCTAGAGATTAAGTCAACAGAAGGTCAGGAGAGGGTGGGAATGCCAACCACGTGTACGGAGGTGCAAGACAGAAACTCGCTCAGATCTCAGCTCACACAGCAGGCCATTGTTCCAATACTGAGGCATGCCAAGTCCGGGCTGGCTCTGCTACAACTCTACTTACTCGGTGGGGCACCAGTTTGGGGGAGGGCAGAAGCACTCTGGCTTGCGACGGACTACAAAGCATAGAACCCTAACACTGCTGAATGGGTGTGTGCTGTACGCAGGGCAGCTGTGTAGCACAGACTGTTTGAGCCTATCTAGGCATGGAATTTTACCCCATTTGGTGTACAAAATGTCTTGGGATAACAACCTATTCATGAAACACCACCACAGAATATACTTAGATAGGCAGTGCAACTTGCAGACAAAGCATGCAACGTGAGGAAAAGGCAGCACAGCAAAAATTTATATCCTATGCACAAAATGATTCCACGTTCATAAGGGAAAAGGAACTACAAGTCTGTTTGCTCATTTAATCAGCTGAAAGGGACCATTGTTAGGTGCAAAGGAAAAACAGATCACTTGTGTTTGGTTTAGGCCTCCTACATTTTGTGGCCTCTGCCACAAATACACCTGTTGAAGGAAGTGGCTCCTAGCTGGTAATTATGAAGTCCAGAACCTGGCATGAGCTGGAGGTAATTCGTTCTTGAAGCCTGGCATCTCTTCCTCAAAGTTTTGAGAATCCCAGCTTTTTGCTTTAAGGTGGGAAAGTGTTGCAAAAAGCTGGAAAAGGTGCTGTGTGTCATAATGACTCCAAGAATCTAGATGCAGCTGTAATCTAGGCATTCCTTGACATCTCCCTTTTGCCATAGCACCCTGCCTTCATTCCCCCAGGAATCCAAGTGCTGTAAGAATCCAATTCTCATACTCAATACTCAAAGTAAAGCAAGCACATTTGTTACATTATCAGAGTGTGTTTTTGCTGTTTGTGTGCTTCTAAGGGTATTGGGAATTTCTGAGGGACGGCATGCCCAACCCTCCCCCATAAGGGCTATGCAAACATGGTCTCTACGTTGTAATACTTACTACAGGACAGTAAGTGCAAGGTGGCCACCCAAAGCCAGGCATTCATTTCCTCACTGCTTGCTGACCAGACTCACTGCAAGCCACCAAACACAGACAGCACATGCTCCTTTCTTACCTTGGAGACTGGACAGCTCCTTGGGGCACACAAATTCTGGTTTAAGCACCTCAAAGCACAGGAACAGCTCTGCCAGGAATACCCCAACATTCACCTGGAGGAGCAGAGCGATTCATCAGTGAAGTACTCTGCACAGAGGGCAGCCTTCTGTCCCCTAAAACACTCAGACCCTAGGCCTGAAGCTTCCACTCCCTTGGATGGCGTCTGAGCCAGGGAGGAAGCAAACGGGGTCTTTAGCTCTATCCTCTGCATAACCCAAAGCAGACCTCTCGTAGACCGCAGGTAAGAGTCCAGGAGGAGAATGCCTTCCTAGTGCCTGAACATCTTCCCTCGCCCCCTGCCAGAAGCACTCAGCTACCCACCACAGAAGAGCCCCTTTGTCCGTGCAGGATCTAGCTCTAATTAGTGTGGCTGGAGGCCCCAGCCAAGGCTCATTAAGGCTTGTGCTGTCCTACTGGCTGCTAATCGCCCACTAGTTCCACATGAGCAGCCACCAGAAACGTGGAGCCAGACCTTCCCCTCCACCCTAAGGCTGCAGTCCGCTCTTTCCCAGCGGCCACTCTCTCTTGAAACCATGGCAGGCCTCCTTACCGCAGTCAGGCTACCAATACCCTCCCCCCCAGCAGCACAGCTTCCCTGGCCAAACATGCTTCCTGCTGCTCCCCAGGTCCAGACCTCACTCACCCTCAATGCAGGCGGCATGTACAGCAGGTCCTCCAGTGAGAGGAAACAGCAGCCACCCAGGTAGTCTGAAGAGAAGCCTTGGATCAGCTGCAGGTTATACAGGCTGTCCGCCACCGACATGGTCTCCTTCAGGCATACATCTGCCAAGCAAGGGAAGCACACAATGGTTAAGTTAGTGCAGAGGTCGCCCACTCACAGAGACCTGCAACGTCAGACTGCTGCCCTACCCCGTACACCAGGCCCCCCCAACATTGTGCCCATGGAAGCCATGGCACCTGTCAATACCTTACTTGGTACCCACCAAGTGTTTTTTTAGAATGTGGGTGGGGCCATGTCACGGCTCAGGTGGGGTGTCACCTGACGCTGCCACCACTCTGGGTTTAGGATCCCTTGAGAAGGCCCAGAGCACCTTCCCAAGACCTTCAGACCTCCCTTTTGGCCGAATAATAGGCGTGAGGACCAGGCAGAGTGAACAATGAAAAGAGTTTATTTTATAGGAGATCAAACAAACAAGGTGCAGAATAATAAGTGGGTGAAAAGAAAAGGAATCAAATGCCCTAATGCATCTAAATATATACTGTCCCTAGCTCACTATGTCAAGTGGCCTTAGACTACTCACCCTTCCCTCAGGATGAGGGTTTCTTCCCACAGCAGCCTTCCTTCTGGCTCTGCCCTCTGGGAAGAAGAACAGCTTTCCCTGTTGGACCAGTTCTCTTATTCCCCAGCCCTCTTCTTCCCCATTTGGTCAAAATCGGTGCCAAAACTTCCCAAGGCGTTCTGGGATTTGTAGGCCCAGCCTCCTCCCACTGCTAGCCAGGCTCCCTGGGTCTAGTAGGCCTCTGGTGGCACAGTCCAGATCATGACAGGCCAGGTGGGGCCCATGCCCAGCAGGGCTTCTATTTGCCACTGAAGATCTGATTGACTACGCAGATGAAAATAACACTGCTTCAGTGGCAGCTGCCACCACAGTGCTGGTTTTACTACCTCTCTTTCCCAGTGTATTTTTAATTACCCCTCTTCTCCAATGTATTTGGGCCTCCTCTGTGTGTGTGTGGTTCTGCAACCTGCGACAGCCATTTTGTATCAGAATTCCAAATGCGCCCACAGGCTCAGAAAGCCCACCCTACACGGCAAGCCCTAAACCAGTATTTGCCCCCGTATAAGACCTCTCCAAGATCAAGCTCACCCTCTAAGCGAAGAAGCTTGGGGCAGTAGTAGTGGATAGTGGCAGCAATGGCACCCCCATTGGCCAGATCCTTCATGCCTGTGATGGCAGGGAAACAGGGAGTCTGCTTGGGCAGTGCCTTATCCTTCCGATAGCGAATCTGGGTAGAAAAAAGATGAAGGAAGAATTCAACATATACGAGGGCTGCCCTAGAAGCCGCAACAGTGCCCTTGTAACCCACGGCTTCCCACCTTAAGTTCCTCGGCCCAACACCATGCTGCTCCCACCTTACCATGCAGCAGCCCTCACAAACTCTCCTCGGGGTTAGACACCTGATGTGTTAGTTAAGGGACCAGGTGACATCAGGCCTCCTGGCCCAACCATAAGGAGAGCACCCGCAATATGCTACCTCCCACCCCCGCCCAAATACCAAGACCAGAGTGCATGCTGGGAGGGACAAGGGAGAGAAGCCGAGGGAAGGAGGTGAAGGAAGCAGCCATTAGAGAGGCATGGACAGGAGACACCCTCCCTTCTACAGAAGCTCTGGATCACCCCAAAGAAAAAGAGCTCTCTCCCCTCTCCACCAGTTCCCCTAGGGAGGCTCTGGCCCCACACCCAAACCAGTGAGCTAGATCACCACTAGAGATGGGGGGGGTGCTAACTGGGACACTGTGCACTACAGGGAAGAGGGGACAGGGGCAGTCTGTCGATTTCCCCCCTCTATTAAACTACCACAGTTTATCATTTCCCACTCCAAACATGCTTGTCCTCACCCCAGGACACAGCAGACAAGACAACAAAGGCCCCACACCAGAGACATACACAGAGCAGGGCAGGCCGTGCGCCAACAGGTCAAAGAGAGGAAGGGAAGAAGTGCACATAAAGACACAGACACCCAGCAGGCCAGCAAGAAGAAGAAAAAGGGGGAGGCAAATAATTAATTGCACCCCCCCCCATGCCTGCTGCAATGAGCTGGAGGGAGGAAAGGGTTACATCTTTGCACAGTGGGAGAGAGTGGGCCATATATAGCAAATGCTGGAGACCTACCTCGGCCCTCCACCTCCTAGCAGACCACAGAAGCTAAGAAACTGGCAGAGAAAGCCTTCCCAACCACCAGGCTTAGTATTACCTTCAGGAGGAAGAAGGAGGCCCCAAACAAACAGAAGTTGGGAGGGGAGTCACCTGACTGTGAGAACTGCAGCAGATCAGCTCCCAGTCTAGCAGTGCCTTTAACTCCCTCATCCACTCAATTCCCCTTCCCACCCTGTACCTTTTAACCCTGAGGGGAAAGGAGGGTAGATGCCTAAGCCACAGGGTGTTCAACAAAAAAGGAGAAAGGCAGTCTTAAAGTCTCTGTAAGGTCTAGGAAAAGCTCGCTGCTGATCATTTATGTGTAGACCCCTTCAGCAGTACCAGCACGAGAGGTAACTAACTTCCTGGAGATACTGTGGGCAAATGGCAGACCTCTTGAATCTGTGACAGAGAATCAGTATGGTGTGGTTATTGAAAGTGTTCGACTAGGGATCTGGGAGACCAAGGTATGAACCCTTCACACTGCCATGGAAGCTTGGGCCAGTCACATATTCTGCCTAACCTACTTCATCTGGGTTATTGTGAGGATAAAATGGAGGAGAGGAGAACTTTGCTGCTTTGGGTCCCCACTGGGGAGAAAGGTGGGATAAGTAGATAAATAAATGGCTACTGAAGGCAGCTGCTGGTTGCTGTGCGTACGGGGGAAAGCCCCCCCCCTGTAAAGTATCCAGGAGTGTCCCCTCCTGAAGCCATAAGCAAATTGGCAGCACAGGGGAAAGGGTCAGGGCCCATTGCAGCAGGAACATCCAGACGTTCAAGAACAGCAACCCAAGTAGATGGCAGGGTGGTGCAGGCGAGCGGGCAAGCACGCGCGCTGACGGATACGTTACCACAGGAGGCTTATTCCCCGACTCCTTCAAACAAAAAGCGATGGCATGCTGGATGCAATAGCAAAGAAAAGAGAGAGCCTGATCAATGCACCCGCCAGAAGGGAGAAAGGAGGGAAGGGCTGCTACCTTGCAAGACTGGGGGGCGGGGCACGCAGAAAGGGGAGACTGGGACAGCTGAGGCCTCACACCTTTGCTTCGACGGCCTTCTAGCATGCACTTGGGGCCTCCAGACACCCCTCCCTCCTGGAGCATCCCCACACCCTCACACACTCTGTGGCCTGCCCAGGTCTTTTTGGACAAAGCATTCACTGGTCCCAGCCTAGGCTGCACCAAGGACTGTAGGGCAGCAAGCAAAAGGGGAAGAGGGTAGAAGGCAACAACACACAGGGGGGGGGGGGTAGAGAGGCATGTCATGTACCTGGCATGCTTTTCCTGCTTGGCAGCTCCAGGCATGAGCTGCCCTGCTCTGGCTGTCTCTTAACCCTTCCACACAAGGACAAGTGGGCCTTTTGGTTAATTCCTGAGGTACTAACAGGCACTGTTGCCATTCCATTAGGCCCCAAGGAGGCTGTGTTATTTGGGTACGGAGGAGACGGGCATGATCCCATACACACAAACACACACGTGCGCAGCTAAGTAATGTGACCCCCCCCCCCGCGCGCACGCACACACACACAGAGGAGGGGATACAGAGCTAAAAGAGACCAAAGCAGGCACGTATGTTTGAGGGAAGGGAGAGGAGAACAAAGGATGCTGGGACATACCAGCATCCCAGCAGCTGGCGTCTCACACAAAACACCCCTACTCCCCAAGAACAGGGTCCCTTCTGCCCTCAAAATCTCCCACTCACAGAGCCCATTCCAGCAGAGCAAGTAACAAGCCCAATCCTATGCAAGGACTTATACCCTTCTAAGACCACAGACGCCAATGGACTTAGAAGGGTGTAACTCCACCAAGGGTTGTACTGCAAGTCCCCCCAAAACTTTTATTCAAGGCAAACCCTCATGACACACACAAGCACCCCTGGCTTCGAGGTCCTAAACCCCAGCATCCTTTGCTCTGGGTCCCCACTGGCATGCAGCACAGGAGCTGAGGCAGCGGGAAGTTAATAAGTAAAGCCACCCACTTACAGGAACCAGTTTCCAGTACCACCTTGTGGGACACTGAAGCAGAGGATGGAGAGAGGCCGTGGGAAGGAGAAGAGGAAAAAGATGCAGAAAAAGACAGCTCCGTCATATACCACACTTTGACTATATCGCACCCACAGCACTGGCAGCCACACTTGGCTGGGACAAGGTTACCCTGCCCATTGGGGTCGGGGGAGGCACCCCACTCCTTACAATGACTGTGAGGGAAAATATCCAGGAAGGCAATGGGCTGTTCAGAGGGCAAAGCGAGGCTAAAGCAGATGGAGTCCACCTCACATCACAAAGATGAAGCAACAGATTTTCAAGGGGGGGGGGGAGAAAGAGTCCTCAACTCTGAGGAGGGGAGATCAGGAGGGAGGAAGCAGACTCTACCCTCTACAGCGAGAAGAAACAAGGGTGCTGCTCATACACAGGACAAAGCCAGCATAGACACAGCCACCCTTCTGTCTTTGCCTGCTGCTTTTGGAACAAAGGGCAGGGCCCATTCCCTGCCTACCACCCCATGGTTTTGCCTCACATTTCGGATACTGATCTCCAAACCGTCCACCCCTGCACTCAGAGGGAAAGTGCCTCAGCAAGGCACACGCACCTTGGGACCACTCATGGAGACCTGGGTCTGGCCATCTGTACCAGGAGCACACCGTTGTGAGCTCTCCTGCTCAGTGCTTTGCTGCATCTTGTGGATGACCTGCAAGGAGGTGGCAAGGATTAACTCATGGATGAACAACACACTCCGTTAGTCATAATCCCTGTACTGCTGAAGCTCCCTCTCCCATAGGTCACAGTAGCCATGTATCCACAGGTGTCTTCCTGATCTCCATCTAAGACAGCGCCCGAGGAACAACCGTTATCACACTAAGTCAGTCTCGGATTCTACGAGTCGGAGACAGTGTGGTGTAGTGGGTACAGTGTTGGATCTTATCTCACAGGATTTTTGCATAGATCAAGTGATAGAGTCCCACGCATGCTGCCCTGAGTTGCTTAGAAAAAATGATGATGAACAAGATAAAGTACCATGTCTATCCAGTGAAGCAGCTTCTGGTCCCAGGAGCTGGCAGCTGGATCAGTGCCTGGAACAACATTTAAAGAACCGGTGGCTTCCATGGCAAATGCTGTCATCAATGAGTCGATCAAGGCCAGGTGCACACCCTGCAAGTGTGGCAGGAAAGAAAAAAGGAAAGGGACAGGTTAGGGAACCTGTGCTGGCCAAGAAGGCTGCACTGGCTAGGAGTTAAGCACACGTGATACCACTGTCCAGGCAAGAAATGCCAAGGAAAGGGGGAGCCAGCTACCCACTAATGCTTCTTCAGGTCAAAACAATCTTAATCTTCAATTATGATGGTTGCATCAAATTTAGTTGGTCTTTTTTTCTCTTACTATCAGTTGACAGAAGCATAGGTCAACCTTGGAGGGCTCTACCATTAGGGAGCAATAGCTATCCCCAGGGCTCTTTTTTGTACAAAAAGTCTAGCAGGAACTCATTAGCACACTAGGCCACACCCCTGACAGCACAGCTCATTGGCATATTAGGCCACACCCCCATGTTCCCAGAAGTGTGGTCATCCAGCCATACCATCACAGGTTCATCCTCTAACATGATTTATGCCATCACGTGTCAACAATACCCTTCCACCCTCTACATTGGACAAGCAGGCCAGTCCCTTCAACAAAGAATTAATGGACATAAGTCTGACATTAGGAACCACAACATTCAAAAACATTTTAACCCTCCAGGACATTCAGTTGCTGACCTAAAAGTAGCAGTTCTCTTACAAAGGAATTTCAAAGGGAGATTAGAAAGAGAGACTGCTGAATTGCACCTGATAATGAAGCTCAAGACAATGCATCCACCTGGATTGAATCAAGACCAAGGTTTCCTGTCTCATTTACAGTGCTGATTTCTCCACACCTATTGCCCCTCTGCCCATCTCACCTAAATCCAATCACACCTGCTATTGTCACTCACCTGCTATTGTCATTTGCCTGCTAATGTTATTCGGCATCTGAAATCACTCCACTTTCCAATAAATAGGACAGAAGGACTCCCATTCTAGATGATGAAGTGAGCAGTGACTCACAAAAGCTCCTACTCTGCCACATATTTTGTTAGTCTTTAAGGTGCTACTGGACTCTTGCTGTTTTCTACTGCTACAGACAAATTAACACAGCTACCCAACGTGATACTCACTTTGACAGAGCAGTGGTCTTACTTGGAATATGGCAGTTTCATGTGCTCAGCCATACTTAGAATGAGCCATAGTTTTGTATTCTGTTTGAACCAAGCCACTGACTGAACTCCAACATCATGACAAACCGTGGTTAAGGAAGCTTAACCGTGGTTCCACATGATACCTCAATTGGCAACCCATGCTTTGCTTGGAATCAGAAAGTTTTGGTTCCTGGGGCTGGTTGAAACCAGCATCCACCCTGATTGCCAGCATTGTGGTGTTACTTCTGGCCTGCATTTGTCTACATGTGGGAGGGCTGGCCATGGAAGCAATAGGACACACATGCACAGACCAGCTCCCAACATATAGAACAGCTGCAACCAAAAGACATTCAGGAATTTTTATGATCTAGAGAAGGAATTTTCAAGCAGTGGCATATAGGATGTTAATTTGTGTTTCCATACATGGGCGATCAAATCATGATATAAATTTTAAGTTTTTGAGATCCAGAAGGAGGATGCTGAATTCTGAGGCATGCATGCACATACTAGCTCTATTACCAGACCAGACAGTAAAATCAGGACCACTGGAGCATATGGGTCAGTAGGCCTTTGCTCAAGGGATAAGCAAATTTTCCCTTTTCGATTTCTTTCTTCTTCATTTGCAATTCCCAGCTGTTCCCTGTTGGCTTCTTGGTACTATATATGGCTTCTTGGTATTATATAGATATATAGATATATACACAAAACTTCCAAGTGCATCATTGGTATGTATCAGGCCAATTTATCGATGCACAAGTCAGATTGAGAAATGTATACATTATACATGGAAGATTAAAGGAAAATGGTACAGAACCAGAAATTCATACATTAATTTGTCCAAATCAAAATCGGGGATTTGGGGGCTGAAACAGCAGAGAGAAGAAATGCAAAATCATCCATAGCAGGATCCCCCGTTTGCATTTTGAGACTGGTAGGCAAAACAAAAGGAGGCTAGGCTGGTCTCCTAGGCTCTTTTAACCCACAATTAGCTGCCACAAGAATTCATGAACTTTAAAAATGTAGACTTCTGTGTAAAAAGGAAGAGGAAAACAAATAACTTAAAGGGTGGGAAGGTTTAATGGTGAAGATAAAGCAGCCGCGGGGGGGGGGAGGACCCTGCGTATGCCACCCTGAGCTCCTCAGAGAAAGACGGAAGGGCTAACCAATCACCACGCATACTCCCAAGTTTGCCCGTGTACGCCTCCCCCCATGTAACTTGTGAACCACAGAAGACGCGTGTTCCTTTCCAAGAAGGCTCGAGGCCGGGATGGAGGGAGCCCAGACTCAACCATGGCGTGGGCTCTGCGGACCCTTCCATGCTCCTCCCTGACAGGATCTCCGGCTCTGAAGCAAGTGAGCAGCACGCCGAGCCCCCAAAGCAGTCTCATGCCTCCCCCAGCCGAGCCTTCGTGCACCACCGGCTCCAGAGTGGTGGCCGAATCCTTGGCGGGGCGTTGTCCGGCTCCTTAGTCAGGTCACACCACACAGGGCTTCAAAATAAGATAACTGTTTATTAGTGGATCCAGTACTAAAGAACACATGTACATCTTGTGTCAGGAATGGCCGTCAGTACAAGGGCCTCTGACTTATAGTGAAATCAAACATTCCCCCTGTAAGCATGAGCCAATGCTCCTCCACCACCCATTCTCTGTGTTGCGGACCAAAGTCCACCCATTCAATCAAACAGAACAGTTTGTTGCACTTCAGCTTAGAGGCCAAGATATCGGCAACTTCATAGTGCGGTTCGCCTTGCATGAGCAGGGGAGGGGGACGGGATTGTTGCAGCCGCCATACATTTGGCCCAGGATCATGGCGAAGGAGGCTGAAATGGAAAGCGGAATGCAAATGTCTCAGGTTTTTCGGCAAATCAAGTTCCACAGCTACCTCATTGATCTTTCGTTTAACTCGGAATGGCCTCACATACTTCCAGCCCAGTTTGCAGCTAGGCCAAAGTCCCTTAATGTTTTTGATAGACACATAGACTGAGTCCCCCCAGCTGGACCTCCCAGCCCTTGGCACGCTTTTTGTCCGCCTGAGCCTTATAAGCCCGCTTGGCTGCGTCCAATGTTTTGCATAGTACCGGCCAGGCATCCTTGAGGTATTGACACCAGTCCCCAACCTCCCCCTCTGGCAGAGTCACTTCTGAAAGGAACGGGAGAGGCGGAGCCTTATAACCTTATAACCATACACCACCACGAAGGGAGACACTCCCATGGAGGAATGACTCGGTAAGGGGAAGGAGTCCCTCCCAATCGTCCTGTTGGAAGTTTGTGAAACACCTGAGGTACTGTTCGAATGTCTGATTGACACATTCCGTTTGCCCATCTGTTTCGGGGTGGTAAGCGCTACTTAAACCCCGCTCCACCCCCATAAGTTTAATCAGTTCCCCCCAAAACTTGGAAACAAATTGCGTTCCCCGATTGGAGATTATATTCCGGGGCAAAGTGTGGAGTCGAAAGACGTGTTGAAGGAACGCCTTAGCCAGACGGCAGGCCATAGGTAGTGTCTTAAACGAGACAAAATGAGCCTGTTTAAAAAACAAGTCCACCCCCCCCACAATCACTGTTTTTCCCCTGTTTTTCCCCTGCTGGGGGGCAAATCCGTGATGAAATCCATAGAGATAACCTCCCACGGTCTATTGGGTGTGGGAAGGGGCTGCAAGAGACCAGGTGGTTTCCCTGGGCTTCACCATATTTCAAGCACAGCCCTTGTTTCATCCGCTGGTCTCGCACCCCTTCTTTTGTTTGAAGAGTCTTGGTTTTCGGGGATGTCAGGACGGTCTTATGGTAGCCATGTTGTCTATCTTGATGGCTCTCAAGCGGCTCTCAGCATCTACCACTTCTCACATCCAGGCATTCAGAGACACTGGGTGAACACTGCAAAGGACCGTCTCCCTGATCTTGTGGTGTAGACCCAGGAGGTATTGCTTGGCCAGCACTCCATTGGGCCACCCCTGGATCTTCGCCACCTGGCGCTTGAACTCCTCCGTATATACTCATACCAACTGCTTTCCCTGTTTGAAGGTGTGTAAGAAAGCCCGAGCATGCTCATCAGCATTCGGATCTTCATAGTGAGCCCTGAGAGCCCACATAAAGGCATCCACTGACTGGAGCTCCGGTCCATCAGTATTGTGCAGACTCACGTACCAGTCAGCTGCTTCATCCCTCAGACAGGATGCAATTTAGTCCACACGGCGTTCTTCATCAGGAAATAGGTGGCCCCAGTTCACAACGAACTTCTGGGTGTGAACCACAAGGAATGCCAGTTTCTCGGGGGTCCCATCGAACATAGCATCCAGAGGCTCCGTAGGGTGATGCACTTCCCAGCCCGGTTGTACTGGCACCACATTCCCTGGAGGTCCCCAGGGAGAATTCCTAGCTAGGGCAGGCAGGACGCATGGCGGCGCCTGAGTCGGGTGCGCCAGTTCCGCTGGCACCCAGCACTGCACTTCCCTCTGTACCGCCTCCACTACCATCCCCGGCAGCTTCCGGAAAGAATCCTCAATCATCTGCAGCATTTTATCGTAGCCCCGCTCGAGAAAGTCCAGCTGGGTACCTACGAACTCCTCAGGTTCTTCGGCTCCCCCGGTGGCCCCCCCATCCTCCGTTTCATAGTCCACATCCTGTGGAGGCCGATCATAACGACTTTCACGTCGTGGGCCCAGAGGGGAAGGAAGAGTCCAAGTTTCATGCAGGTCCGCACTGAACTGTCCCCAGCGCGGGCCCCGCAACCTTGTAGTCACTCTGGCTGTCGCCCCTCCGAAGGGTTCCAGCAGAAGGTCTGCTCCGTCCATCTCCGCATCCCACGGAACGGACTCCGGTCTCAGCGTTCAGCTCCCCGAGCGGGAGCTGGGTCCCCTCCTTGGTCAGAGCCGGGAGAGTGGCCTCCTCGCCATTGCTCATTTCAGCTTGAGAGATGTGGGTC